ACCATCTGGCACCCTCGCCCCGATCTTTGGAACCTCCACGTGTGGTCCCTAGACGCGAGGAAGACTTAGGTAACCTACCGACTGCGGTGGTTAATACCATCACTCAGGCTAGAGCCCCCTCCACGAGGGGCGCCTACGCCCTGAAGTGGAGTCTATTCACTGAATGGTGCGTCTCTCGCAGAGAAGACCCCCGAAATTGCCAGATTAGTGTTGTGCTCTCTTTCCTTCAAGAGAAGTTGGACAGCAGGCTGTCGCCCTCCACTCTCAAGGTTTACGTGGCCGCCATCTCCGCTTATCATAGCGCGGTAGCTGGCGGCACCGTGGGAAAGCATAACCTGGTCATCCAGTTCCTTAGGGGTGCTAGGCGAATTAATCCATCTCGCCCCCCTTTCATGCCCTCTTGGGATCTCGCCCTCGTTCTCACGAGTCTGCGATCCGATCCCTTTGAGCCACTCGAATCAGTATCTCTAAGATTTCTGTCCCTGAAGACAGCTCTGCTGGTTGCGTTGGCCTCCATCAAGAGGGTCGGGAACCTGGAGGCATTTTCGGTCAGTGACTCGTGCCTGGAATTCGGGCCGGATTACTCTCACGTCATCCTGAGACCCCGCCCCGGTTATGTGCCCAAGGTTCCTACCACCCCCTTTAGAGATCAGGTAGTGAACCTGCAAGCGCTGCCCCCGGAGGAGGCAGACCCAGCCCTTTCTTTACTTTGTGCAGTTCGCGCTCTGCGCATTTATGTGGACCGTACTCAGAATTTTAGATCATCTGAGCAGCTCTTTGTCTGTTATGGCGGTCGGCAGCAGGGAAGTGCCGTATCGAAACAAAGATTATCCCACTGGATTGTGGATGCCATTTCACTCGCTTATTCGAGTCGAGGTCAGCCGTGTCCCCCGGGAGTTCGTGCACACTCCACTCGGAGCGTTGCATCCTCTTGGGCGCGTGCACGCGGCGCCTCTCTAACAGACATCTGTAGAGCTGCGGGCTGGGCGACACCCAACACATTTGCAAGGTTTTACAATCTGCGAGTGGAGCCGGTTTCCTCAAGGGTATTAGGTAACCCTTTGGTGATTGAGGAGACAACTCGGTAGGGTGTTGAAACACGCTTGCTGCGCCATTCTCCCTAACACGGAGGTACGTGCGCCTTTTTTTATCTGTCAGTAAAGTTCCCCGTCAGGTGAGCCCTGCAGATTCCTCCGTGGCCCCCAGCACTGACTCAGCGGAGGAGTCACTTGCTGGCCCACTACGTTGTAGGTCTGCCCACTGGTCAGCCCGCGTTTTGGGTATAGGTGCCTGCTATGCGTGATCCCCACTAGGCGATCCCATATGCTTATTCCGCCACGGTTAAGTCCCCCCCCTGGGCGGACCCGTGTCTTCCCTCTCCGCTAACCACTCTTTTGCTATGCGTACTCCCCCTTTTTAGGGCTAGTCCATATGTAAATTCTGCCATCTATCCCCCCCTTGGGTAACGGATGGCCTCCGCAGCGTCCTCCCTATCGGGATTGCACGCTTCCCAACGTACTGTCGTATTTCCTAGAATTATCTAGATGCTCACGACTTCCCAAAAAATATATCTAAATCCGTAAAACTTCTGTTGAAGTAGGATAAATTAGGGCCAGGGACACATTGGAGGACCGCGCCCCCCATGATGTGGGTGCGTCACGCTTGCTTGACTATCTCCTCATCGGGGGTGTTGGTAAGGTGCAGTCATTATGGCGCTTTCAATGGGCTCCCAATGCGTGGATTTTACAATCAAATCCACTTATAGTGCTGAAGTTCCCCCCGAAGGGGGAACGTTCGAGGTTACTAAAGTAACCCTTCGTTCCCCGAGGAGGGGAACGGAAGCACTATACTCCGTCGCCATAATGACTGTCCCTTAGCTGTTTGAAAGTCTCTTCAGCTTAAAAGGATGGCGTCTGCTGGCTTCAGGTGTGCTTATATGCTGAGATAATTGCAGATGTCGCACACCTGCGCAAGCTTACGCTGCCAATTAATTTCATTCATTGGCCCGTTCAATACTCTCCAGACAATCGGCTTCTGATCCGAATCCTCCCAATGCGTGGATTTTACAATCAAATCCACTTATAGTGCTTCCGTTCCCCTCCTCGGGGAACGAAGGGTTACTTTAGTAACCTCGAACGTTTTCCTGATTGCACACATAAGATATGTCCATGAGATGTCATTGAGTGTTACAGTGCAACAAGCTGCAGGATAACACTCTTTAGCAGCCTGGATTCAAGTATTAATACAGGAATTAGTTTAACAGTGACTGCTCACATTGTTAGTGGCCTTGGAAATATCTCAGGAGTTAAAGGAAATTGCCTTGAATGAAATCAAACTGCTTTCAGATTAATCAAAACATTTGATGTGAAGCCAAAGCCAATGAGGATTTAAAAAGTGAGATACTCTCTTCTTCAACTGTCTCATTTGATCTCTTTCAGTAATTCTTAGCAGAATTAATGTATTTCCAAGTTAAACAAACACACGAGTGGTTTAATTACAGTATGGAAATTAGTTTGTTTAGACCTTGAGTTTAAGGTGTTCCAATTACATTTGTACAGCATAAGCAAATAGTTATTTATCATATTAAACTGTAAATGTGAATGTTAATGATGCTATTTAGTTGGTGAGTTTGTTTACTGCAAGGAAACTCATTTAGCTAGTTTATGAGGAGATAAGCATTTCCTTCCCTGATAGCGCAAAATAATAAAAGATACAGATCAACATCATTTACACACCTAATGTGCATCCTTTACTCTTCATTATGGCATGTCAGCACTAAAAAGCTTTGTGACTTTGTTGGGAATTAAAAAACGAAATAAAAATGAATATGAAAAATAGTCCAAAGTTACTGGAGAACTCATTATAATTATGAATTCCAAACACAAAAACAGCAAACTCTAAAGAAGGTGTTCATCCATTTTCATTTCTAACAGAGACTGTAGGATTACAGACAATTTGTGACTTTTAAAGAAACATAAACATTATGTTCAAAACCTTTGTTTATATTCGTTATTTATCATTTGATTCATCTTGGATACATACAATTGATCATGGATTTTGGAAATTGAAGGATCTGAAGACTGGAATAATGGTTGTTGAAAATTGATCCAAACTCAAATGTAATATATATGCTAGTATATTTTCTTTACATTTAATCATTTAAAGGGCACCTACGTTACCTCTTTTTACAGATGTATTATGAATCTTTTGTGTCTCCCGAATTTGTCTGTAAAGTTTCAGCTTAAAGCACCCATCAGGTATTTTTATTATACCTTTTATAAGATTCTGTTTTATACATTTTTGCACTGGGTGGCGGTTTTACTGTACTGCGCCTTTAAGGCTAGTCCTACCAGACCACCGTTTCTACATGCTTTTTTTGCATGCCTTAATCTCCTCCCTCGGCTGCGTCAGACAACAAACACACATAAAGGAAGCAGATCACATGTGGTGTTTGTGAGAAATACTACAGTAAGATCTTAACCAATGAGTATTTGATGCATTTGCAGTGTTAAGTTACAACGATGAGTCACATACAATGTCGTTACAAAGTTCACGCGCACACACACACAGACACACACAGACACACACACATACCCAGGACGGACACAATATTAAATTTAAAAAAAAGGACTGTTTATATCACCGCGATTTGACCTCCAATTTGACCTCCTATACACTATACTCAAACATGTTTCTGTCCAAACACCATAAGTGCCCTTTAAAGTAAAAACATAAGTGAACCTGGATCACAAACAAGTCTTATATTGCAGGGGTAAGTTTTGGGAATAGCCAAAAATAAACTGTATGGGTTAAAATGATTGATTTTCATTTTATGCCAAAAATAATTAGTCTGTTAAGTAGAGATCTTCTTCTTTGAAAACATTAAGCAAATGTCATTTCATAAACCTATCTAAGAGTAATTTTTGATTAGTAATATGGAAATTTCTAGTTATTCAGGTTTTAGATGATATTTAAATCTCATTTTCCAAAAGTTAACCCTGATGGTTTTGTGGTCCATGGTCACATATATGTAAATTAACAGCTAAATATGAATCCTTAAAATTGAATCAATTCCATATATTGATGTAAAATTATGCAGCAGGCACACAACATCATAAGACGTTAACATTAGGTCAGATTTAGGTCATGACGTCAGGTGACCAAAATTTAATATCTATAAGGATTTTTGAGGTCCAATAACCAAACCAAATTACATTAATATTTGGTTGATTTCAGGTTGGAATATAAAGTGACCAAATTCCAACATCTGATAGATGTCATAGTGCTATCGTCCACACAACGTCAAGGTGTAACATGATTAGATGCTAATATTTGGTTAATTTTAGGATGAACGTTGGACATTGATATCGACCTGACGTTGGGTACTGACGTCAACCCGATTTTCATTTCCAAACAAAATCAAATGTCCACAAGATGTTGGGGTATAATGTCAATATGACATAGACGTCCTGTGACTGCAGGGTATATTTATTTTTCTATACAGTCTTCTTTCGTATAACAGGAATAAATTACATCTTAAAATGTATTAATATTTTGACAATTTTATTGTTTTTTAAATAAAACTTTTGACTGGTGTTTGACCCTCTTTGACTAATTTTGTGTCATATAAGTTTTTGGTTTGGAGATTTTTATTGGGGTTTTCTCTTATTGAGTTCAACTGCTCTGTTGGTGCAGTGGCCTGATAATTTTTTTTAATATTCTTACAATCTGTGTGGCATAAATTGTATTTTCAGAATTGGCACGCTTGACTGAGGAAGTATTTTCTTCTGACATAGAACTCCTACCTGTATCTAAACATACAATAATATCCACACAATGAAAACCAGCTGGTACAACAAGCACTGACTGTTTGTTGACAGCCCATAGTTTAGCTCTATCACTTGAACACAAGCTGCTATGACACTGATGACAGCTTTTATTGAAATTTTGCACTGATAAACCACAATAAAGCTGTATTTGTCTGGTAATGCACTCAATACCTTTGACGTTAACAGTGATGTTGACTTGTTTTTGAAGACCTGGCACTGAAGGTACAGCTCCGACACACACGTACACACCACCGTCAGCCAGAGTCACAGACTCCTTAGCAAATACACCAGTGTTTGACAGCTCCTTCGAGTCCTGTGGTTTACAGAAAGACAACGTAGACACTGAGTCAACTCTTAGTATAACCAAAAAACATTCAGCCAAATAAAAATATTTTTTACTCAAAACTGAAAAATCTGCCATAATTTCCTAACTTTTCAGTTGTTTCGAACTGGTTTGAGTTTTTTAATTCTGTTGAACCCAAATAAAGATATTATAAAGAAAGCTAAAAACCTGTAACCATTGACTTTTACAGTATTTGTTGTTTTTTCTACGATGGAATTCAATGGTAACAGGTTTTTAGCTTTCTTCAAAATATCTTCTTTAGTGTTCAATGGAATAAAGAACCTCATAAAGTTTTATAATGACTTGAGAATGAGTAAATAGTGAGTAAATTTTCATTTTTGGGTGAACCGTGACTTTAAAGTAATATTTTGAAATGAAAATTCAGATTTGCTTGTGTTATTCCACACCAATAAGACTTTTCGTTTCATGTTCTACATAAAATTTAAGATATTTTTACTGAAATTGGAAATTTTTGTCTCTTTGCTAAAATTCTGTCTTGCTAGGAACTAAAATGGATTTGAAATGGCAATAAAGGTATGGTGAATGGTAATGAATTTAATTCTTGGGCTCTCACCTAGGCAAGAGGTGCATGAAAAAATAAATATTTGGAAAAAGAAAGCATTGTTGTTTTAGCAGTAGCAAAAAGTGTCAATTACATATGAAAATATGATTAAAAAAGTGATCTTAATTCTGTTGTTATACGTATTTGACATTTCTGTATGTGAATGCTGACATCACTTGCTGCACTCGTTGACATTTGCATTTTTAATTATTGACATCATACGTAATATCAATTATTGTCTTCTTTTTTTGTAGATGCTATTTTTACTTAGTTTGCATTGTAGAAAGTGTTAAATACAAATGATTTGATTTGACTTTATAATAAGGGGAAAATAATGAGGTTTTCCAACATTCTTTAAAATATCTTCTCTTGTGTTCAACAGAAAAAAAAGAAGCTCAAACTGGTTTTGCAATGATGGCAGACCTTTGATTTTTTGGATGAACTAGCACCTTAATTGTATTTGTGTAATAACAAAAAACAACAACATAATATTATAACAAAAACGAGTGCAGGAACAAATGAAGAGATTATCTTCACTTGCCTTTGTCCACTGCAGGGTGTGAGCTTCAGAAGCCTTGGCCTTACACTGAAGCTCCACATGATCTCCTTTAGAAACAACCAAGGGCCCTTCTGGTTCCACTGTTATGTCGATATCTGAGAACACGACGAAAGAATGCATAGAGATAAACAAATCTTTTAATCAACATCATGATTAAGTGAAATTTTTGCAGTTTGACATATTCTCAGAAAACTCTTTTCTGATGTATCGAGCCTAGGATGGATACGTCCCATTTATAACAAAATCATGGTGTTTGGATACCTAAGCTAATACAATCAAGATAAAGATTTTCTTTGTTGACTAGTTTGTTGACTAATAAACACATGACATTAGTTAAATTGTTTGGAGATTTTTAGAGTTGTAATTAAGGCAGGGAAACACTGTTATTTCCAGCACTGTTCTACATTACAGAGAAATACTAAACCACATTAATAGGTTTTGGAAATTTATTTCTTATTATTTTTGCCTGAGTAATGAAGTTTGCCCTGCATGCTCACAATTTTTTAAAAACTTGTTTGGTGCGTTAATCTAGTCAATAATATTATTCACAAGGTCATGATTCACAAGAGGAATCAATGAGGAATTGGACATTTCTGTGTTTCTTTAACGGTTTGTTTTAATAACATTGTGAATCATATATTTTGAACAAATAATGTAATGAAAATGTATTTCTTACTGTTCTGAACTTTCGGAATTTCCTTGCATTGATGTAGACATGAATAAGTGTATGATAATAATTGATATGCTATTTTCAAGTGTTATAATGTTTTGAAGGCGAAGGTAAATATTTCCTTTGTAGTTGATTGTGGTTTATTGAAATGAAAATGAGATTATTTTTAATTATCGAGTGGCCGTCTAACTAATGACATAATGTGATTGACTGTGGGACCAGGAAGGCACACACTGAGGAAGGCATAGTGCCGAAACATCTGTGTTTTGTATCACCTGAATAATGTAAAACAAACACTATACAAAGCAAATATTTAATGTGTGAATTATGATCTTCTGAATAATATTATTACTTTTGGCATTTTTTTTTCTTTCTCTAAATGTAGCATGTGTCATGCCCATGTACAGTATGTTATATAGCTGTGTCATATTTATGTTATTAGCCCTTAAATGGCTAATACTTTCACTGCAAAAAATGCTTTTCTTGCTTAGATTTTTTGTCTTGTTTCTAGTCTAAATATCTAAAATTTCTTATATCAAGAAGCATTTTTTAGACAAGCAAAACATATTGCCTTGTTTTGAGAAATAATATGCCAATATTAAGTCAGTTTTTCCTTAAAACAAGCAAAATAATTTGCCAATGGGGTAAGCAAAATAATCTTATGTCAAAAGAAAAAACAAGATTAATTTGCTTACCCCATTGGCAAATTATTTTGCTTGTTTTAAGGAAAAACTGACTTAATATTGGCATATTATTTCTCAAAACAAGGCAATATGTTTTGCTTGTTTAGAAAATTCTTCTTGAAATAGCAAAATAGCTAAACAATAAAAATGCAAACAAAAACATATTTTGACAAGTTATAATAGCATTATATATATATATATATATATATATATATATATATATATATATATATATATATATATATATATATATATATATATATATATATATATATATATATATATATATATATATATATATATATATATATATATATATATATATATATATATATATATATATATATATATATATATATATATATATATATATATATATATATATATATATATATATATATATATATATATATATATATATATATATATATATATATATATATATATATATATATATATATATATACATTGTATACAGTTGGCAGTGCTAAGAGCCTGATGGAGGGAGTGTTTAAAAGTGTCGAGTCCCATGAAGGAGCTCCAGATGGAAACTTTTGTTTTGTGTTCACCTTATGATTAAAGTTGTGGCACGTCCTCCGGTTCACACCTCTGAATGAGCGAATTTTAGATATTTGTGCATTAAAGTAGCATTCAGAAAAAAACAAAACTCCTGCTTGCAAAGTAACACGACACAGTGGAACTTGGCATATGTAATCTACTGCCAGCTAGCATTTCAG